TTACGCGCGATTAACGACGCACTGCTTTATCGCTGGGCTGTCTGGTGTCTCTTCGTCGTTCGCTCGCAAATGCGCGGCCATAGATCACATCCGGGGAAGCGTCAAAACGCAGAAACAAGGACCTTGCTCGCTTCCTTCTTTCCTTCTTCTTCACGCCTGGTGTCTTCCACGCGCGCGCGTTAATTTATCGTTCCCGTACTTACCGGGGATACCGTGCACCGTACGTTTTTTTTTTTTTTTACCTTTCAGCGCGAGCGATCGACGTCGTCGTCGTTGTCGTCGCTCTCTCGCGATCGCGACGCAATTCGACTCGCGTGAATTTTACGTCCCCACGCGCGAAGAACGTGGCGGACGGTATTCCAGCAAAAAGGTGATGTCTCGGCCACGATACACAGCACACACTCGCGCGCGACACTTTTCTCTTTCTCTCTCTCTCTCCTTTGCTATCCGCGCGAGTTCACGCCTTGCCAGCCGAACAGACGATCGTGTCTATCTTGTAAAGGTCATGTGTACGGCGAGCTCCGCAGTTGTAAACAAGATGTACGCAGGCGCCGAGCACGCGCGCGCGCGCGCTCGCTCGAATGACGGCGAGGGCGAGGAGTCCGATCCGATATGCGCGCGACATATACGCTCCACTCTACGCGATTGTAAATACGGGAGCGGGCGGCGCGCGCGACGCGCGCAATGGCGTAACGACTATCGTGTCAACGGACGCCCCGCGGGCCGCAATGCGGAAGGATCTCCGGACGCAAATATACGTAAAAACCACCTTCTTCCCCCCGGGTGGGCACGCGCTCTCTTCGGTGTTCATCATCCTCTTTACGTAATTTGCGCGCGAGGGGGATTATGACTTATGACGTGTCTCGCGTCACGCGCGTTTCAGATAAGGCTCGGAGAGGCGATGGAGGAGAGAGAACGCGCGGTCCACGCGCGCCACGAAATCCGGAATAATGTTCCTCGTGATTCGTGACGAACGATTGGCTCGATTGATTCCGTCCATCGACGACACGCGCGTCTCGCGAACCCGAAATAAGGCCTCCGATTCCCCCGAGAGCGCGCACGATGTTGACCAACGTTCTGATGGATGGATGGATGGATGGATGGATGGATGGATGGATGGATGGATGGATGGATGGATGGATGGATGGATGGATGGATGGATGGATGGATGGATGGATGGATGGATGGATGGATGGATGGATGGATGGATGGATGGATGGATGGATGGATGGATGGATGGATGGATGGATGGATGGATGGATGGATGGATGGATGGATGGATGGATGGATGGCCAGCGAACCAGACAGACGGACAGACGGACAGACGGACGAAGAGCGCGATACGCGGGCTAGCGCGCGCGCGTGCACGGCTCACGAAAGGACAGGAGGGGAAGGGGCAAAAGAGGCACCGCTGGTAGCAGGGAGGAAAAGGAAGGAGGGAGGGGGAAGGGGAAAGAGGGATTCACGGCGAGGCGTGTTCTCTCTCTGGTCGCGAGCAAGCGCGCGCGTCCCGATCGCGATGGCGTTTCGAGGAAAAAACCCGCGATGGACAGACAGACAGACAGACGGTGGCGCGTGGATGGGCGTCTCGGCCGAAAATTTCGTTCCTAATCGGACCGCGCGTGTTCTCCCGATAAATAGGCTACTGCCAAGGACAGCGCGGCTTCTCTCTCTCTCTCTCTTCTTTGCTCGTTACGTCGTACACCTCTTTTTTTCATGCGCAATAGGCGGCGGGACCCCAACGTCAAAACAACCGCGGCGGCGGCGGCATTCCAGGTCGATGCGGGGAGACGCGGCGGCTCCCCCTCCCCTCTTCCCTCGCGCGCCCACCGCTAACGTCGCTGCTGCGAGCTGTGACTGGCTCTTCCCGCAGCAGCTGCTGCTGCTGCTTCCGCTTCTGTCTTCCTCCCCGTCGGGGAAGGAAAACACTCGGAGATTACGCGCGATTAACGACGCACTGCTTTATCGCTGGGCTGTCTGGTGTCTCTTCGTCGTTCGCTCGCAAATGCGCGGCCGTAGATCACATCCGGGGAAGCGTCGAAACGCAGAAACAAGGACCTTGCTCGCTTCCTTCTTTCCTTCTTCTTCACGCCTGGTGTCTTCCACGCGCGCGCGTTAATTTATCGTTCCCGTACTTACCGGGGATACCGTGCACCGTACGTTTTTTTTTTTTTTTACCTTTCAGCGCGAGCGATCGACGTCGTCGTCGTTGTCGTCGCTCTCTCGCGATCGCGACGCAATTCGACTCGCGTGAATTTTACGTCCCCACGCGCGAAGAACGTGGCGGACGGTATTCCAGCAAAAAGGTGATGTCTCGGCCACGATACACAGCACACACTCGCGCGCGACACTTTTCTCTTTCTCTCTCTCTCTCCTTTGCTATCCGCGCGAGTTCACGCCTTGCCAGCCGAACAGACGATCGTGTCTATCTTGTAAAGGTCATGTGTACGGCGAGCTCCGCAGTTGTAAACAAGATGTACGCAGGCGCCGAGCACGCGCGCGCGCGCGCTCGCTCGAATGACGGCGAGGGCGAGGAGTCCGATCCGATATGCGCGCGACATATACGCTCCACTCTACGCGATTGTAAATACGCGAGCGGGAGCGGGCGGCGCGCGCGACGCGCGCAATGGCGTAACGACTATCGTGTCAACGGACGCCCCGCGGGCCGCAATGCGGAAGGATCTCCGGACGCAAATATACGTAAAAACCACCTTCTTCCCCCCGGGTGGGCACGCGCTCTCTTCGGTGTTCATCATCCTCTTTACGTAATTTGCGCGCGAGGGGGATTATGACTTATGACGTGTCTCGCGTCACGCGCGTTTCAGATAAGGCTCGGAGAGGCGATGGAGGAGAGAGAACGCGCGGTCCACGCGCGCCACGAAATCCGGAATAATGTTCCTCGTGATTCGTGACGAACGATTGGCTCGATTGATTCCGTCCATCGACGACACGCGCGTCTCGCGAACCCGAAATAAGGCCTCCGATTCCCCCGAGAGCGCGCACGATGTTGACCAACGTTCTACTCCAGCCTCTGCGTATTAATCCCCCCGCGAACGGGTAAAGGAGAAACGGGGCGATGTTTTTTGTGTTGGTGTGTCGGGACTGTCGCGTGCCCCCGCACACGGTTTTTTTAAGGGTTAGGGTATACAATGCGAAGAATGCACGATCAAAGTACACATTCGAGATGTTACAAATACCGAAATGTGCGATCCGATATCTTCGGAGTCGATTTGTTTATAAAGTATACTGCATTCCAGGAATCGTTGTTCTTTGATCTCTGCCGTACGACCGAACGATAGAATTCTATAGATTATAGATGAACTATTGGGATATTTACAGACGAAATATATTTTCACATCTTATTATTTATAAAATTTTATCTTAACATACACATGATATATGTATATATTATATAATTTTCTCAATGTTTATTGATGCATGTAATTCTATCCTTTCCATAAAAATTTTATGTAACTATAATAAACATTATCATAACATAAAATACTATCATAAATATTGTTTACTGAGATTCTGTTTTTATTTCTATTTTTTTAGAATAAAAATATATCAAACTTTAATGGACTTTGACTAATGCTTAATTAAGCAATTGATGAATGATGCATAATAGCCAACCTTGCAATATTCACTGTTATAAATAAACTTCAACCAACAAATATATGGAAAGTTTCACAATTTGAGAAAACGCTTAAAACTTAGATTCTTAAAGTTAAAGTTGAAATTCTTTCTGTAATGAAATGTGTATTTGGTACATTTTTGTTGTATAACAAATCTTTTTATATTTATCTCTCTCTCTACTAAAATCTGTATTCGAATTTCAAAATTTTCAAAAATTTAATTTCATTAGAATATATATGATTATAAAATTTTTTTATACAAGTATTGGATGTAAAAAAAAATGAGAATATTAAAATATGTCTTATATGGAAAATTATACAATGTGAATTATATATATGAATATACCTTATTGTCTTTTTCCTTAAATGAACTTCGTTGTATGGTAATAAAGTTAATTCTATTTTTTTTCACGACTTTTTTTCACAACAATCGCACATCAAACTATGAAAAATTCTGTTCTGCACACTTTCCATTCAATTAACATTTTTTCAAGAGAGCAATTTAATCCATGTGTCATGAATAAATAATCTTGTTGCGCTTCAAAATAATCTTTTTATCATTTTTGAATTATGTATTTAAAACTAAATAAGAAGTTGCTTTGTTTATGAGACTAAAAGCAATAGATAAAATTTAAAAATAATGGTTAAAGAATTAATGCTAAAACAAAAAATGTTTAGATATACCATTTTGTAGAGGAGATTAGTAGTAAATAATACTAGCATAGGAATAATAAAAGAATGAATTACATAGAAAATATGGGAAAAATGCAAATGTCTCTTTTTTTAAATGTATAAAACTGTCATGTTAATATTACATGAGAGTATTTCGTAGATATATTGTTAGAAAATGTGTTACACTGTTCTTTTAAAAAGTGGATACATTTTTATAAAATACATTCAAAATATTGAATTATCAATAAAAATCTAATACTTCTTACGAGAATATTTAAAAAAACAAAAAAAAACTTTTTTATTATCTCGCGAACCCGAAATAAGGCCTCCGATTTCCCCGAGAGCGCGCACGATGTTGGCCAACGTTCTACTCCAGCCTCTGCGTATTAATCCCCCCGCGAACGGGTAAAGGAGAAACGGGGCGATGTTTTTTGTGTTGGTGTGTCGGGACTGTCGCGTGCCCCCGCACACGGTTTTTTTAAGGGTTAGGGTATACAATGCGAAGAATGCACGATCAAAGTACACATTCGATATGTTACAAATACCGAAATGTGCGATCCGATATCTTCGGAGTCGATTTGTTTATAAAGTATACTGCATTCCAGGAATCGTTGTTCTTTGATCTCTGCCGTACGACCGAACGATAGAATTCTATAGATTATAGATGAACTATTGGGATATTTACAGACGAAATATATTTTCACATCTTATTATTTATAAAATTTTATCTTAACATACACATGATATATGTATATATTATATAATTTTCTCAATGTTTATTGATGCATGTAATTCTATCCTTTCCATAAAAATTTTATGTAACTATAATAAACATTATCATAACATAAAATACTATCATAAATATTGTTTACTGAGATTCTGTTTTTATTTCTATTTTTTTAGAATAAAAATATATCAAACTTTAATGGACTTTGACTAATGCTTAATTAAGCAATTGATGAATGATGCATAATAGCCAACCTTGCAATATTCACTGTTATAAATAAACTTCAACCAACAAATATATGGAAAGTTTCACAATTTGAGAAAACGCTTAAAACTTAGATTCTTAAAGTTAAAGTTGAAATTCTTTCTGTAATGAAATGTGTATTTGGTACATTTTTGTTGTATAACAAATCTTTTTATATTTATCTCTCTCTCTACTAAAATCTGTATTCGAATTTCAAAATTTTCAAAAATTTAATTTCATTAGAATATATATGATTATAAAATTTTTTTATACAAGTATTGGATGTAAAAAAAAATGAGAATATTAAAATATGTCTTATATGGAAAATTATACAATGTGAATTATATATATGAATATACCTTATTGTCTTTTTCCTTAAATGAACTTCGTTGTATGGTAATAAAGTTAATTCTATTTTTTTTCACGACTTTTTTTCACAACAATCGCACATCAAACTATGAAAAATTCTGTTCTGCACACTTTCCATTCAATTAACATTTTTTCAAGAGAGCAATTTAATCCATGTGTCATGAATAAATAATCTTGTTGCGCTTCAAAATAATCTTTTTATCATTTTTGAATTATGTATTTAAAACTAAATAAGAAGTTGCTTTGTTTATGAGACTAAAAGCAATAGATAAAATTTAAAAATAATGGTTAAAGAATTAATGCTAAAACAAAAAATGTTTAGATATACCATTTTGTAGAGGAGATTAGTAGTAAATAATACTAGCATAGGAATAATAAAAGAATGAATTACATAGAAAATATGGGAAAAATGCAAATGTCTCTTTTTTTAAATGTATAAAACTGTCATGTTAATATTACATGAGAGTATTTCGTAGATATATTGTTAGAAAATGTGTTACACTGTTCTTTTAAAAAGTGGATACATTTTTATAAAATACATTCAAAATATTGAATTATCAATAAAAATCTAATACTTCTTACGAGAATATTTAAAAAAACAAAAAAAACTTTTTTATTATAATATTGAAGAGAAATTTATTTCAATCTCACAGAGAGATTATTTTGGCACTAATTAAGTATAAATATTGCAAAAATAAGCAAAATTTTCTTTATAGTTATATAAAAAAACATAATGACTTTAAAGCTTTTTGCATGCTGAAAAATATGTACGTAATCAACTCTAAAATAATCTTTGAAAATTACATTAAATATACATTTACTTGGATTATAAAACAATAACAATAGTAGCAATAATAACAATAATCGTATTGTTAATTTATGAGATCCTACATCTTATTCTTTAAGAAGTTTATATTCTAAGAAATAAAACAAAGCTTCCTCTATGAGGAAGCAAAAGAAAAAGATTAAATCAGTTAATTAAACTTTTTCACAAATATAGATCATTATTTATTATAGTCTTTATTTTAATACTGATAATTTGTCAATAATAATTTTGCAAAGTTTTAACAAGACTACGAAAATAAGTAGAAAATAAAAAGCCAGATTCTTGCGAGTATTGTGACTATGTTCCATTTGATTATCGCAACGCTTGCGAGCTCACCTGTCTTTGTTTAACTTTCGGTTAAACAAGGATGAAATAATTTCATACACACACACACAAATATGGTAATGTGTGATGTTGCTATCGTCGAATGAAAATGTATTATATAAGTATGAAGCCCAACAAAAACGAATATAAATATTCTATAACTTATGGAATACTTTTTGGTTATATTTTAGTCTCTTTGCATATAAAAAAATAAACAAAATTCAAATATACATTAGCTATATATGTAATACAGCTAAAAGGGATAAATTATATATTACTTAAGAGCAGCAAAATTTGCATTGATATTTAACCGAGTGCCAAATGCACAAATTACTTTCCGGGTTAACACAAATGCAAGTGTTACCTTGTAGTTGTACTCTAATTGACTGTGTATAAAAGAAAATAAAATATCTACGAAGAGAGACATATGTCCCAAGTGCATTGTTTATAATATACTTGGTAATAGTCTCCTATATTGTTTCTTCAATCATAATTATTAATTACCCTTTACTTTGTACGCAATATTTTGGCTAAATTGTTATTCACGATCGATGATCGACATAAACTTTTGTATAGAGAAACATAATCAAATAATTCATATAATATTCTATCAGTCTATTTTAAATATTCTCCTATAGATATGCTTGTACTCAATTTAAGGAGGAACAAAAGAGAAAGAGAAACTTAGAGCGAATGAAAAAATAATCAGATTAGATATAGGCGAGAAAGTTATAGGTAGAACAAGATATCTGTAAGGGAATGGTGGGGTTCAGCTTGAATATTTTGACCGACCAGGTATACGAGCTTGTGCGCGTATTGACAAGGAGCGGGTACGCGAATCGTACCAGGCCAATTGTAATACAAGTGACAGAGTTTATACGTGAGTCGTTGCATATGATCAGTCTCCAGGTTGGATGAATCATGAATAACAATGTAATGAGTGGGTGTTACCGTACCCTGTCGTACACTTTGCGGCACGAGAAAGAAATCGTAATAGTTTCTTCTCGTTATGAAAGAATCAACAACGGTACCCGCTACGGGGTTGTCTAAGCCCTGCGGATTGCCTCTCTAAAAATTAAGAATGTCAACTTGCGTCAATCGTCAAAACATTAATTGTTAAACTTATCATAATGCGCAACATGTTTCGTGATCGTATCAAGTTATTAACGTAATACTCACATCTTTGATGAACAATCGTGTATTGATACGTTTTTGAACGATTATTACACTAAGTTGCGGCTTATAATTCGGTGCAATGCGGTTGAACGTCATCATTAGTTGCTTCACTTCATATTTTTCGACATAATCTAAATCACCATCGCCGACTCCATCGCGGTATATAATTATACGTTCCGGATTACACCCGTTATGCTGAATACCATTGCATAACGCATTCATTATTTTAACAAATCAATGATAGAAAGACTTTAGTACATTCGGAAGATACATAATTAACATAATTACCTTTTGATATGCATTGATAGCTGAGGTAAGGCACACCTGTAGCATATCTACCAACTCTTGCTTAGAAGCCTGCATACAGATTCTACTGTGCCATTTGGTTAATTGAGTATCTAAACTTGCAACAAAACCTGCAACACTCCTCTTCGCACCTCCTCCTACACCAGCGTGATAGACATCTATACCACACACCATGCAATTTTTCTGTTCCAAATAAAAAATTAAAAAAAAAAAAAAAAAAAAAAAAAAAATAGCTGCATAAATAAAAATGTATGATAAAGCAAGGTTTTTCTACATACCAATGGCATATTTACAGTCCAAAGCGCGCCTCCCAATTTACAATTGATTTGGAGTGCAATCTTTTCTGTAACACTTTTCAATTTTGGAGGCTTGGAAATTGTTTTTCCGATGATAACTTGCGACGGTATGGCTCTTTGCACACAACATAATCTGTAAATATAACAGACTAGTAAAACATATTTTTCCCCTTTAAACTTTACTGTTTTCAATCATTGCATAAGCAAATGAAATTTTCAACATATACACTTTCCACATACTACAGATACAATCACTTCTTGTTTAATAATATAAAACTCATATATACAATAATAACAGAAATAGGCTCAGAATATTAACGATACTACGCCAGAAAACTGGCAAATAAGAACCAAGGCGCCATAATTAGTGCGCAAATTATTGTTTAATTTCATTAACCAAAAAACAGTCCAAAACGTATATATTTAAAGCATATTTGTTAATGAAATGAAACAACAACAAAATTTGTGCACTAATTACCGCGCCTCGGCTCTTATTTGCCAGTTTCCTTATCTAGTATCTTATATACAATATTGTATATTTGCACATAAAACGATAAAAGTACAATATAATCATTAAAGTAATAAAAAAAAAAAAAGATAAAAGAACAATCGACTTACTTTTTGACAGCAGAATATCGATCAGTGCGATTGGTCGGAAATACGATAACTACTAATTCGACAACGTCGTTGATGCTGTTTTGAATTTCTCGCAGATAGGTTTCAGTTCTATCGTCTTTTAGAATAATCTTTCGTGGATTGCTGATCCGCATCCCGATCGCTCCTACAATCTTGTTCAGCATCTCTAAGAAATCTTTTACACAAGTATCATCTCTTGTAAAATATATAATATGCCAATTGTTCAAATTGGGCTGGAACACAAAATGTTTGTTCTTACAAAATCGTTCGCTAAATATTCTAATTTTTCAATTCTCCATTGTTTCTTCAATATACTTACAGTACGTAATACAGGATTTTTTACTGCAGCAAAACTCCAATCTGCGGGTTTATCATTCGTCAGTTGGCATGTTCTATTATGCCCGAAATGTATCAATTCAGGATCAAGGCGTCTCGCGGTAAATTGAACTATGTCATTGTTTAAACGTAAACCCCATTCTGATAATAATTCGTGGGTAATCTTATTTTTTTCTACCTCTTCTACAAATCGCTTAATCACACTCCTACGATGATCGGGCGACGATTTCGTAATTCCACTCAAATCTCTCATTATATAATGGTTGGAGCGGATACTGTCTGTGAGACCCGCAGCATAACACAATTCCGGCACCAGAAGAATTATTCTTTCCTGCTTCTATCGTATTCAAACGATTTTTGGCAAAGTTCAAGTGACATATCAACAGTAGACATTATATCAACAGTAGAGTAAGCAGTGAAAATGCATAAAATGACGAACCTCGCCAGTCGGTGTTCTAATCGTACCACGATGCACTAAAAGCGGTTGCTGTCTATCTCCAATCTCTATATTCCAATGTGTTCTATAATAATCGATTATGGATATTTCCTGGTCATTTCTGGAGAATGTATATTCTGGTGTTTTATCCCATGCAATATCATCTATACGATACGTCTTATTATTGTATCGTGTTAATACGCTTGTACCAACTATCTCGTTTACTATAGCATCTTTGTAATCGCGCTGTCCTTTACGAGCAATCTCAGTTCTGCAAGGTAATTGCACAAAATAAATTTAGTCAATTATTAAATTATGACTTTATATATGTGACTTAACAATGTTGGAAAGAATTATATGAAACTCACATTAAATCTCGAATAGTGTCTGTCCGCATTACTCGATGTTTAGAATCTAAACACAGCTTTAAACCACCCTCGTATTCGTTTACGGCAGTCACATAACCAGGCCACACTTCTAATCGATGTTGATTTAGTTTTTGCGCGCTATTCGGATTAAAATTTTGTCGACCAATACGAACTAAACTAAGCGCACGCATGATACGATTGATCAAAACGTTGAAGAACTGTACATTTTCACTCATTGATTGTTTCTTTTTGAAGATTATTGTAACATTTATTCGCGAACCATCCATTGGATGTTCCGAATAATAGTTTGTGACCTGAAAGTTTGACAATTATGCATTATACAATATAAAGCAATATATTATATTTTATAATTTTAATCATAAGATAAAATTAGATAACTTTAATCTAAAATTTAAACTCACATCTTGTGGCAGTTTTGTTGGTAAGTAAAGTATCATCCCATCGAATGTTCTTGTTCGTCCTAAACTAGCGGAATGTTGGCCAAGTAATTTACGGCGTAATCCTATCGAATCTATATCTGGAGTATATTTAACTTCATACTGGAACAGTCCTTTTCCGGGATCTAATTTCAGGTCTATATAATTGGCAAATATTTCTATTCTGAAAAAAACAGTTTTTACATCAATGTTGCTATTATTAAATTATAATAATATATTCATCCATCGATATACATAATAGCTTCTCAATGCAATTTTATTAATATGATTAAAAATTAAATCAATATTCCAAATAAGGATCATATTATTAATTTTTTAAATTTGGCTATCTAGTGTAAAACGTGCATCTGACTCAAATTTGTTTCAAAAGTTTTTTATGTATTTCGAAGATGTGTGTTAGGTGTAGGAGTATGTGTATATATGATGTATAGATGCATGTTTTAAAAATTAGAAATCATAAATTACTTTGTTCCACTTTTGCCTTGTCGACAAATTGGCGCGGTATCTTCGGAAGGATAAGCGTCGGATGTGGATGGACTATCATATACCGAAATATCAGACAATTTTCCTAAAACACCTGCAGAATCTGTCCTTTCAACAGACATACTCGCTCGTACGGTTGGTTCGGAACTAAAAAGAGCACAGTTGTTTTAATAGTAAATTTGCATTCATAAATATAATCCAGATATTATATAACTTGTCACACTTACTCCTGTCTTTTTGTCAAAGAACTTAGGAGAGAAGCTCGTCCCATTGCTTGTGTAGGGCCTCTGGATTCCAATCCTTTGCTTATACTCATTGATTTTAACAAACTAGGTAATTGAGCACGCCCGCGACCTGCACTAACACTTGAGGCAAATGAGCTTTGAGATGCCTCAAATGATCTGGTCGGTTCACTAGAGGAAAAACTAGGTGTTTCTACAGAATGGGACAGTGCTTCAGACCGAGCACGTTCCGCTAGTGTTTTCTCCTTCATCATTTGCAACAGTAGAGAACCACGTCCTTTCCCAACAGATTTTTTATTATCATCCATTTTTGCTCGAATATATGTATGTCTTTTGCAATCTGTAAAATGAATATACAATGATATTTATTAAAAGACATATTGAAGCTGCCACTACTATCTCATATACAAAGGAGAATACTTGATATTTCATTTACTGTTCAAATATACTGTTTTATTCTATATTTATTTTAAAATAACTAGAAAAACTTTCGGATATAAATAACTTTTACGAAAACATATAATTTATTATAAAATTTCTAATTGTGGCTAACAATGTTTCGATGTATCTATTAAATGAGTATTGGAATGGAATATGCGTTTTACCTAAATAACCAATGCAAATATACAAATTAATTAACTTTAAAATATTGATCACAAAGAATTGCACTGAAGTTTTAGACCAATATTCAGACAAAATAATAAAACGATCTATGAAAATTTTACGATGTGGAACGATGTATCTTGGTTATGTTGGAAAAATCTACATGTTAAAATAGTGTTGATTGATTAATCATACACACATACACGATATAAAAGAAACAAAGATTTTTTTCGGCCTGGCCAATCAAACTCTATACTCAAAGAGTATATTTTCGAACGCCTTAATAACCTTAATAATCCTCTGTAGTCTTAAGTGATCTTTTCCAGTTAGAAATACTATAAATTCTATAAGTAGTATTTACAGATTTATCTATATATATCTATATAAAATACAGTAGAATCTTCTTAAATTTGACCCCGATAATTTTGATCCTCTCCATTCATAATTTCAGGAACAATATCGCGTTCCCTCTATATCATAATGGACAGATATTATACGAGGACGAAAAACTGTTAAACATAGTCATCTTTTTGAGTATTCTTCCAAGAGTAATCAACATTGATTGAATCATTATTTATTAAGGAGCCTAAATACTGCTGCGATTTTGACCAAATAATCAGAAATGCATTTTATGTGACTCTTAAAATGTTACACGGCCATTTCATTGGCCGAGTAATATTAAGACTATTTAAGATGATCTTGAATATAAGAATTTAACAATGGCATAAATACGGTCTATATGTAGAATAAATCATGATATCTTGAATTAATCACATTGCGCGTGATATATGTGCAATGTTATACCTTGATATTTACATCATAGACTAATTATGATGCTGAAATTTTCAATATTTCTGATTGATTCAATTAATTTTGAGCAAAAGAAATCTCAGCTAATCAATAAGAAGTCGGATAATGTCCAAACTTTAATTTAAGAATCTCTAAAATGAATATTGTCATAATTTCAACATAGAGATGTAATCTGATATTTTTGTTTATATATATCTTCTATTAAAATTCTTAGGAAGGGCGTGCCTAAATGCATTTTATTTTCTATGTAACTGGATTTTTTTTTTTTTTATCCATACATCGAATCAAATTATTTTTTTTTTCGCATATTACCATTCATGTTTGTGATAGTATATGTAGATTAATAATATATATTTGACTCTTTTTTCCGCTTTCGTGCATTAATAAATAATTGTAAATCTTCATTATAATAAACTTATTTCAAAAATTAGTTTATTTCGATATATAGCGCAAGTAAAACTTTACGTAAATTCTCGCTTCTAACATCGTGATCTATACAATATGTATCGTGATCAATATGATATATGTAATAAAGAACAAGAAACCTTAATTTATAAAAACCTCTAATTAATTACAAATTTTCTATTGTCAGTAACAGTTACTAAAAGAATTTCTATAATTTAAGCTTGATTAAACGACCATCGGCCATGATATCTTCTTTAAAGATGTTATATAGAAACACAGGAAAATAAAAAAACTAACGTTAAAAAAAGAGAATGCGTGCCGCGTAAAAGCGACAGGTATCTTTTAAAAAAACAAGAGGAAGAAAAAAAAAAGAAATATTTGTAAATATGAACCACTAAAACTATACTAAAATACAGGAACGAATATAACTATATGTATCTGATAAGTTTGCGTGGAATGTTTGCACTAGTTATAGAAAAAATATCGTATATACATATAGGTTCGTTATTGCTAAAGTATGTATGCAGATCTATACAAAACTTTCACGGTATCATGATGCACAATCTAATATAAAAAAAAAAGCAATAATTCCTTTTTTCTTTTAATATACATATAAAATACATTTTCATGCACATAAAAACACAATTGTTTACTCTATATACGCGGGCAATGAACAGAACGCTGTGTGTGTAGTCATACTACTACATATCTTTACATGGTTTTACTTATAATTTGCAACAAAGAGGAAAGATCGTTAAAAAATGTTCGGCTTCAATGCGATGAAAAAATTTATAAAAACCAAAAGAAATTGACGAAAACATTAATATTTATATCTTTGTTTGTTACATGAGGAATCCTTGAAAATAGGTCGAGTGTTGCGTGAGGATTCCTGTTTTTATCAAAAAAGAATACGGTCGGAGATAAAAATCTCGAACATGGTGGATCGTTAACCTCTAGCACGGATTCTCGCAGGAATACGAACACAAGCAAATAACATGCGAATTAAGGAAAGGATTACTTACTTAAGAATTTTCAATAACAAGACTCAAGCTCGATAACCGACGTTTCCTTCCGAGGATACTGCACTCTTTTTTATAAGATTTCCGCGTCCACTGCGGGACGAAAGTCACCGAAGACGAAGAACGGAGTGACGGAGTACTAAGTACTACCACAGTACTACAGTACCACAGACCACAGTATAATACAGTAGCGTAACTCTGTGTCTGCGGCGGCACGTTTGATGTTGGTGAAGCCAAGAGCCATGAGCCAAGCCGTCCACGGTCTATAGCCTGTAAAGCCCGTATCAGACTACGCATTGAAGATTGAGATTGAGGATTGAAGATTGAAATTTGACCAAGCAGTACAAAGAAATTTTAGTCCCTTTTGTCCTGATTAGTCAAATTTCAATCTTTAATCTTCAATCTTCAATTTTCAATGCGTAGTCTGATACGGGCATAATCGTGCGCGACTTTAAGCCCGTGTCACACTACGCATTGCGGACGCGGATCGGATTTGGATTATGTCCGTATCAGACTACGCATTGAAAATTGAGATTCAAGATTTAAGATTGAAATTTGACCGATCAGAATAAAGAAATTTCAGTCCTTTCTGTTCTGATTAGTCAAATTCCAATCTTTTATCTTCAATTTTCAATGCGTAGTCTGATACGGACATAATCTAAATCCGATTCGAGTCCGCAATGCGTAGTGTGACACGGGCTTTAGCCTCGTGTCACACTACGCATTGGGCGCGTTCAAGAAACACTATTGAGCATCGTCTTGTCAATACTCGACGTTGATTTGTTGATTCTAGAAGTAAGAACCAATCACGTTCAATTGCTACTCAACAGTTGTGTCTCCTGAACGCACCCGTTGCGAACGCGGATCGGGTTTGAATTACGGACTACGAATCGTCCATCACCCAATCAGAGCAATATCTTCAATTTTCAATGCGTAGTCTGATACGGGCTTTACGGACTACGAATCGTCCACCACCCAATCAGAGCGAAGTAGCTACTTGGCTACTAAAAAATTTATAATTTCATTGGTAAATCTAGTAAATTCGCTTATTTTTGTAATGTTCACCCTCGTTTGAATTACAGAATCGATACCCTAGGCCGCGTTCCACTTCACGACCGCAACGCTCACGGTATCATTTCATCTTTGTTGTTCACCGAAAGTTAAACAAAAACAAATGATACTCGCGAGCGTTGCGATCGTTAAGTGAAACGCGCCCCTAGTAAAGTCGATTTAAGAGATTAGGTATCGATTGAAACGCTTTACGAACACACAGTGACGTCACACTGACGTATTGTTCTTTTCAGATTATAACCTCTGCTTCTACTGTTTCTGCGGTTAAGGTTAAGATCAAGCGAGTTCGTGTAATTGAGTCTTTAGCGCTGCGAAAAGTTATATCCGTTAAAGATGGTTTCGAGGACAACGTCGAGACGGATTCCCGAGGTAGAGCCGCGTATAGATTACGTGCAATGCGACGGACTCGTGGTGATGAAGATGGTGAAACATTGCCACGAGGAGTCTTCCAGTAACATGGAAGTTGCGCAGGGCGCTCTACTTGGCTTGGTTGTGCAAAACCGCTTAGAAATTACCAACTGCTTCCCGTTTCCTAAAAACGACGAGATTATGGACGAAGAAGAATACCAACTTGCTATGATGCGAAGACTGAGATGGTGAGAATCGAGATATTCCAACATATTATTTAAAGCGAGAATTATCGTTTAATTTTTTTTATCATATATACAGGGTGAACGTCGATCATTTCCACGTCGGTTGGTATCAAAGTGCGGACGTTGGCAACTTCTTAAATCTATCCTTGCTGGAGTCGCAGTATCACTATCAAACTTCAATCGAAGAATCGGTTGTGCTTATTTACGATACAGCGAAATCTGCCAGAGGTTTTTTGACACTTAAGGCATACCGGCTCACTCCGCAAGCGATACAAATGTACAAGGAGAATGAGTTTACTCCAGAAGCTCTGCGTACCTTGAAGATTGGATACGAGAGTCTCTTTGTCGAGATCCCAGTAGTTATAAAGAACAGTAACTTGACAAACATTATGATGTCAGAATTGGATGAAATGATTCCCGAGGAGCAAGGCACAAAATATTTGGATCTTGGCACAGCTACAGTATTGGAGAACCAGTTGAGATGTTTGATGGATCGAGTAGATGAATTAAACCAAGAGGCGATGAAGTTTAATAGATATCAACAATTGGTGGTTCGACAACAACAAGATAAGAACAGGCTCCTGGCTAAGAGAGCTCAAGAAAATGCCGCTAGGGCTGCAAAGGACGAGCCGCCGCTACCTGATGATGATATTAACAAACTGATGAGGCCTTTACCAGTTCCACCAAGGTTAAATCCAATGATTGTTGCTGGACAAATTAATACATATAGTGAACATATCTCGCAATTCTGTTCTCAAAGCTTAGCAAAATTGTACATCACTCAAAGTCTACAAAATGCAAAGGAGGCAAAGTCTTCCCATTAAAAAATTAATATATTATGAATGTTTATATATAACACTTGAGAAGTTTTACTTGCGTAAAATTAAATGGAAGAAATGTATGATTTTCCAAATAAGAGTTTATTTATTCATTATACCTTTTTGAATTGAGCATTATCCATTGGTTAAAAAAAAATACTACATTATATGTTGTATCCTATTAATATTGAATAAGTTATGGTATATATATTATTTGACATTTAAAAGCTATTCACATTTATCGTTATCTTATAGAATTGTTTGACACATTCTGTTGCCAGACTTTTGAAAGTATATCTCCACATCTTCCCTCCACTCTTAAATTCACAAATTCATCAGCTCTAGTTTTGCCAATATTTACTATCGCGATTGGCTTGTTGGCCTCGATTGCTTGCAGGACAATTCTATATGCGGAGAATGTGGTAAGAGTCGTTCCGAGAATTAGCAAAGCATCCGAATTCTCGACGTTATTTTTCACATTTTGTACTATATTGCGTGGAACATTGTCTCCAAAAAATATAATATCTGGTTTCAAAATACCACCACAGTTATCACAAGCAGGAACATTAAAGTCTTCGACTTGTGCCTGTTAAACATATTTCATTGTTAATATGCAGTATCACAGCAGCTACATATAGATATATATATAAATATGAGTAGATAATGTATTTTACCTGTGATAATTCTACATCTCCATCAGGTCTTATCATTTGAGTAATTGCAACCATAGATGGATTGAGTTTCTGAAAGACCTCTTGAAGTTCATATCTACATATTTTATGATCGCAATTAAGACACATAACTCTGAATGCCGTACCATGCAACTCTATTACTTCTTTACTTCCTGCCTTTGAATGTAAATTGTCTACATTCTGCGTAATAATACAGCCTACTTTTCCAACATATTCCAAATTTTTTAGTATCTTATGTGTAATATTTGGTTTTAGAGAAGAAAATCTGCAAAAGGATTCTTCATTTATTTATTATTTTCTTATAAATAACTGAAAAGTTTAACAATAAATTACACAGAAAAATCAAACCTTGGCCACCCAATGTAATTTCTGGCCCAGTATCGTCTTCTTATTGCCTCACTGTTGCAAAATTCTTTATAAAGAACTGGTTTATGATTGGTTCGCGCATAAAGACCTACTTCTGCCGATCTGTAATCGGGAATACCACTTTCTGTGGATATTCCTGCCCCGGTTAATATGCACAAACGATGATGTTTATCGATAAATTCCTTCAATCTTATTACATCTTCTATTTTTGTTGGATCGCATTTTGGAACAAACGCAAGACTTGATTTATATATGCGAGCTGCAAAGTAACTTAACTTATATTAATTCTTATGAGATTTTAGAATATAATCACATATATTCTCTATTTCTACAAAATATATTTAAAATAAATTATTTATTTATATCTTTTCAGATATAGCCAAATGTTACACTTACAACATAATTCTACCGATTTAGCATTACAATAAATATATCTTGTAATCATGACCTACACAATTCTTATTATATTATTAAACATATATATACATTAAAAATAAATATTAAATATATTTCATTGATTTTTTAAATCGTACATGGATTTATGCCACAAGCCACGAGATACTGGCAATTGGCAATTTGTCAATGGTGCGTTCTTAAAAACCAACGTTTCGATTTAGGTCCATATTCATAGTCTAGCCTATCGGATGTACCGATTGGCTATCGAGTAGAGAATTTCTAGGGTTTCGAAAGTTTCTTGCAATTCAGCCAATCGGTATGTCCGACAAGGGAACTTTCATACTAGTGACCATCGAATCGTCTTCGATGACAGCGCCCTTCTGTTTTATCCTTTCGCGTTGCTGCCAGAAAACTCGCGCCATAAACCCCATCTTCTTGTTTAACAATCTCCTTCGGCCGCAATTGAGAAATTGCGAAGAGGCAACAGAGAAACAGCAGCAGTAGCAGTCGAAGTGGGGATCGAGTATCGAGTGCAGCCATTTTCTATTTTTGCATATAGCACCGCGAGTGAGAGCCAGTGTGTCGTGCGTGTGTATACGAGCTTTTTTTTGGGTTGTGTGTGATACAGAGATCGATGGACTGACGGCGATCGGCAGGGAGCTCGCAACATATTGAGACATTGTGTGACGTGACATGAGATGATTGTTTGGCGACAAACGCCAGAAGAATCGTGCGATCGTGCCATTCGCAAGACCGTCAAAAAGATCCATCCATTTGCGCAGCTTCGCGTGTAAACTCTCACTCTCTCTTTCTCTCTTCATATCCCATATATATATAAACACACTCTTCTCGAATTCTCTTTTCCACCCCTTTCTCATCCCCTCCTCTACCACCCTTCTTCCTTTCTGTACTCTATACTATTCGTTTATCTCTCGAAACAGGAGAAGTACACATCGCCCTATCGAGGCTTCGTCTATCGCCGAGCCGAGAGATATACAAGGGAAAACCAGTCTGTGATACTAAGCAGTACTAAACAATATATATAACATATATATATATATAGCTGTAGAGGTGTAAACTCTTTGTACGAATGTAAGGTGCGCGCGCTCCCGTGAGTGTATTTCCCAATCGTCGTGTATATCTGTGTGAGTTAGCTAGCGATCGCGCGCGTCGTGTGTGACTTTGTGTAGGTGCGCTTGTGTGTGTGTGTGTGTGTGTGTGTATGTATGTGTATATCGCTCGTGTACTAGGAGAGACGTAGATAAAGATCGTGTAAAGGATCTCTTGGAAAGGAATTTAGCCAATTCAAATCGAAGAGACGGAACGCCGGTATTCGCGCAGGACACGCATCTTCCGCCAGCAGATCGAGGTCGACGTAATTAGCGGCGCGATGTCTGTCGAGTCCGTGACAAGTGACAAGCAACCGCCGCCACCGACGACGACGACGACGACAACGACGACGGCGACGGCGGCAACAACGGCAATGACGACAACGACGACGACCGCGACGACCAAGAAGGAAGAAGGTACGAGTCGATTGATCACGCATATATCTTTTTCTATCTCTCTCTCTCTCTCTCTTTTCTCTCTTCCTTATCGAATCCCTGAAGCGACGCTCATCGTCGACGAGCAATGTCGGGAAATAACCTCTGAGTCTGAGCGAATTTATTCGTTTTTCTCTTCGATGAGAGTAAGTCTATTTGTTTCTCTTTAGCGATATTACAAACGTGTTACAGATGTTTTCTTGCAAAACGAAATAGATATTTGAGTGTTGCAGAGGCAAAAGGGAAAATTGTGAGAGAAAGTACAGAAAGTGCAGCTAGAACATCTAATATCTCTCTCTGACTATCGTTGGATGGAAATTATAGCAAATTTGAAAAAAAAGGAAAACGCAATCTCCGAATTTCTGTCAGTTTTGTTGAAATAATTTAGAGATACTATTTTTACTTATATGTATACTTATACGTTCTCTTTTTACTTGTATACTCCTTTTATGTATATTTTTACTGAGCCTCTTAGAATCCAAATTGACTAACTCTACTCTTTCTGTAAATTTCTAAATTTTAGTATCTCTTAAACACATGATTAATACTCTGGTTCGTATAAAAAGTATGTTTAAATAGAAGTAAGTTTATGTAAAAGTATTTCTACAGTCTATCTGTAGACCATTGTAATTAGGATCAATAGGGAAACCCCCAACATAAGTCAAAACTTGCTTTCTGTTAATTTCATTTACTTTTCTCATCTTTTTTTACTCCATTTTCAATGTACGTATAGTACACATAGACATGAATGGTGTATTTACATTAATTAAAACTATAGTTAGTAATTGTTCTCCTTTGTTATCTTCTAATAGAATATTTTTATATTTAGGACTCGTATAACACTGATATATTAATACTTTTATCTAATTATACTTTCTTCTTCATCCAGATTAGTATTTGAATCATTTTAATCTATATGTATATATAAAAATGCCTTTTTATTATATTATTTTTAAATATTTAATTAAATTAATAAAATCTCATTTTCTTTCCAATATATTATGTAAGAGATTAAGTAAAAGATTAAGTACACTTTTAGGTTTTGAGAGCAAAGAATATTATTTTGCAAAGATTCCAAAATGTGATATATATTTTATTTGATATAACTATATGTATCATTAATTTTTGTGCGCGCATATATTTAGGACAACAATGATTTCTAGAAACTTTCCTGGATGACAATCAGTTATATTTAAATTATCTTTATAGCGAATCAAGTGCCCTCTTGACTAGGATCTTCTCAGGAAAGCTTTCATTGGCTTGTCAAAGTATTATCTTGTCTGAAAGCAGTTTGAATTAGTCAGTCTGCACTGTACTGTGCTCACAAATGTTTACATATATTTCTTCAGTATCAAGTCACGTGAGTGATATATAAACAGTGAATACGTATGTAAAATTGACCATTTCTAACATAAAATAGCCATTTTGATAATAGAAATTATAATAATTTCTGCAATTTGGTGTGTTTAAAAAGTTAGACATTTAACAATTTTTTCTTACCACGAGAAAAAAACGCAAAAAACAAAGAAAAAATTTGTTTTCCAAATTGCTTTGTTTCAAAGAGCGAAGAGTCCGGACGAGACTTCTCGGAATTATTTTACCAGCTTCAAAGCCAACGGATAAATTCCGATATTTAGATCTCGCTCGAGTTTTTATTTTATTTTATTTTTTATTTTTCTCGAGCCTTAAAGAGTGGAAGCTCTTAGGCAAATCTTTTGTGAGAGAATCTCTTTTTTTTTCTAATGACTCGCGGATCAACGTATTCGTGATGAGACTTTGATTCGGGAATTTATCGACTGTTTGCCCTTCACCTGTTTATTTACATTGCCGAAAGGCAACGGTTGCGCGAAGAAATACAGCGGCAGTTAGAGATAGAACAGAATAGCCAGATAAGAAAGGCTTTCTTATCTCGTCTATTCGATTTATTCGAAGTAAGACAACCGATTTATACAATGAGACTCATCGCCGTCAATCGCTTTGTCGGTTCGAACTGGTACCGGCGACCACGGAAACGACCGCTAGTCGGTCCGACCGGCTCTCCTTTCTTAGACATCCTTGTTATGCAGACCAGAGCTTGCCATTGGTTTCGGAAAAACAAATCTGTCAATCCTCTAAAGCGGGTGACCTTCCGTAAGTACGACCGCGTTCGCCAAGCCGTTCTGATACGTTTGATCGGTTGATTGTAAAATTGTGTGCGATTGTGGAATTTTCAGCAGGTTCTTATTGTTTCGAATTTCAATTTATATTTTAGGCATCGAGATCAGAGCGATTTCTAGTTTTGCCGGTGTGTGTATGTGTATTGTTACTAAACAGTTATTTTATTTTTTGTTATTTTGCAGGGGATGAAGCCATTATATCGATGTCGGTGGCTGGAGAGGTGACTGACACTTCGATCATGGAAGTAGGCCGTTCTAGACCTCAGTTTCAATATTCTCGGGTAAATGTCACTTTGCAAATTTTAATGAAATTCATTAAAGTAGCGTAAATCGCACATTAAGTCCTGCAATATATGTATTTACATTTTTTTTGCTTTTAGGAGGAACTGATGCTGATAAAAAATTTGCGATTATCTAAACGTAGGCCTGCATTCCTAGACAATGCTTATAACAAGTATGTTACAAGGATTTATAGTCTTTTCGAATTTTTGATTTATCAATATCTATTTTACTAATCGTTAATTACTTTTTCCTCGCAGCTCACGAGGTGTATGGGATCCCGAACGCTGGCATTCAGATAGAAAGCGTAGCGATACACCCCCGAAGGAGGAAAGGACCGGACGTAGTGATCAAATCACTGAGAATCATAGTAAGCGACGTAGTAATGGTGATCCACGGGACCGAATACGTAAGGAGCAAGACGGCATCGTTTTGAGTCCTCAACGAAGAAGTTTTAACTCGGGATGTTTTGTTAATGTGAATCAGCCACCAAATCGACGTCCGGAAAGCCCGATCGGCAAAACAGAGGTATAAAACTTATATTCGCGATCGATTCTGTTTCATTGAGATACGCACGACTGCATATCTACCTCCATTAGTATTGTTTTTTTGTATTCTATTTGTAAAATCACAATTATTAAATATTTTACAGGTCAGTCATCGTGAACCTGTTCGTCGAATCGGCAGTGGCAGGATTCTGGCGCGGGATATATGGGATTTTAGATCGGAAAATGAAAAGATTGAATCTGAACGCGCGGATTATGGTTTTAGATCAGGCACGGCCGCTAGTGGTCCTCTGCGTGATCGTGATAACAGAGATAAGCGTGATGGAAATGAGCGTGATAGAGATCGTGATATACGCGAGAGAGACCGTGACCGTGACAATCTGCGCGAGCGGGACGAGAGATTCGAACGGAGATCATTCGGCCGGGATTACGGTGATCGCGGCGAAAGAGAGCGTGATCGTGGTGACAGAGGAGGATCGGAGCGGAACAATCATCAGACAGATCGCGACAAAGATCGCGGACGCGAAAAGAGATACAATAACGACCGTCGACGGACTTACAGTGATAATCGCGATTCGATGGATGAGCCCGAATGGTTCAGCTCGGGACCTACATCTCAGCACGATACGATCGAACTAAGGGGCTTTGAGGATATCCCGGAGGAGAAAGCGGTGAGCAGTAGCGGTAATTCCAAGAACAAGAAACAGACTCCCGCGCAGAAAAAACGAAACAAGAAGAATGCTATGGAAAAGGATGACAAGTCGAGCGAAAATTCGGCGGGTCCTAAAGGACGTAGCACTCCGACTGTCATGGATCAACCCCTGAACGTTGTACCAGCGCCGCATTCTCCGATATCTGAACAGACCGAGCAGTCCTCCATCACTCAGAGTAAAGAAAATGACATTAGCGAGAGTACCGTGACCGAACCGACAACATCCGAGTCAGCAGAGAATTCCAATGCTAATCAGAATCAAGAGGACTCGCATCCTGATTTTAATCTGGATGAATTCCTGAAATCTGATACATTCGCTGGCGTATCTGGACTATTGACAGTAAATCATCTTTTTAATTTTTATATATTTTATTTTATTTTTTTTATATTTTTGCATTTAATATATCTGAAATAATCTTATACTTTTTCGCATTACTCGAACAAATTTTTCGTTTGTATTTGCAGAACGGAGTTGGCTCGAGTAGTGGCACTGGTTCTCGATTCAGCCAGTGGTTCAAGAGGGAAAGTCCAATTCAACAGGCGGATAGTCGTAGGGCTTCCATACAAGACGAACTATTGAACAATTTATTGAACGACATCACCGAGCCAAACATCCAAATACCATCGGTAACGGAATCAAATACCTATTTTGCTCCAATTTCTCCGGCTAACACGACAAATAATACCAACTCGGCTACAAATGGTGTAAAGTTACTCGAAATGTTACATCGCGGTAATAAACCGAGTCAAAATGGCCAGGGTGACGCATCTAATACAACTATCCCTATGTTGAAAAACTGTTCTATTAAAGATTTGGGTAAGTCACACATATTTGGATAAATATCATTCCGTCATTTAAACAAATCACATGAAACATAAATATATGTATTTTTTCTAGAAATTGGTGGAAAAGTTGTACACAGTTTGGAAGAATTGGAAGCACGCATGCGGGGTGGTGCTCCTCCACCTGTGACTTCGACTGATACACCCCATGTAAATAAGACTGAAGAAGATCTCTCTGCTTTTAAAAAATTGGTACATTTATAATAATATAATATAATTTTTAATAATATAATTTTACTTGATTTTATATATAGACTTATTGAAAAAAATGATTTAGCTTGCTCAAATGAATGGAGGACAAGCTGTGCCTGCAGCTAACGGACCTATCACACAAAAACGACCTGTAACATTAATGCAAGTAAGTTTGTATTTAATTGTTCTTGTTATGTTAATTGTGTATGTATGTATGTATATATATATATATATATATAATAATTCTTATTTTTATTTTTTAGCTACTTAATTCACAATTAAAAACGCAGCAGCAGCCATCAATACCGCATCAGCAACCACCTACAGAACCGATTCATGCTACGACGTTTAATCATGTCGGTCCTCTTGGCCCTACTCAGCATCCACATCAAGCTCAAATGCAACATGAAAATCTGATGAAAGTCTTACAAATACAAGTATGATATATCTATAGCACTCTAGTTATCTATATGCGATGAAAGATTTTTGTAAACGTTCTATATATATTATTATAGCAGCAACAGCAACAGCAAAAACAACGACATTCCGATATGCTGTCAATGATGATGGGAAATCAGCGAATGCTAGGTGTCAGTCCGGTACCGTCGGAAATGCAAATGATGATAAATAATATCCCGTCAAGCCAAGAACTTTTACAACGACCAGAAGCTCAAGCGATTATTCAAGGTCTGCAGCAAGGAGAGATCACCAGACAACACCTAATACAACAGTTGCAGGTAAGTTATTTGTAATGCACATATTGCACATAATAGTTACATAGTATAGTCTTGATATGAAGATTGATATAAAGAAATTTTTCTCAATCTTGATTGTATCGCCGATAGAATCCCGCTATGCAGCATCGTCATCGAGAAGTGCTGGTGAACATTCTGAAAATGTACGGCGGTACTACACCTCGCACCATAAGTCCGCATCCTCATCCTACTCCTGCTACTCCTCAGGATCATATGTTGCAACAGATGCTGTTTCAACAGCAACAACAGAGGATTCCATCTCCGATGAATAATGGTAAGATTTTACATGCACACAATTATTCTCCTTTTTTTGTTTTTCTCTATTTAACACCCTTTCTTAAGCGGAAATTTGAATTGAACAATTTTGTATTATGTTTGGAATGCAGCTTATTGTCCACCTCCAATAATATCATCAAATTTAACAGCTAGTCCTAGTACTTTAACAGTACAACATCCAGGTAGTATAATAAATACAATGATTTTTGTATTTTTCGAAATTTGTTGTATCATCCCTTGTGTACAAAAATATTTCTAACTTAAGAAAGATGGCACGTGCAGTAGTAAAATCACTCGATAAGTTAATCCAATATAAATTTTTATCACATTTGTTATAAATCTTAATCAATATTAATAATGTTGAGAAAAATTGTGTTAAAAAATTGATATATAAATTATTATTATTATTATTATAACAGTGATACCGCACAGAGTGCCATCGCCACGGGAAATCGTTATGCACACTCAGACTATAATGCAAAATGCTTTAATCAAGAAGAAATTGGAGGAACAACGTGAGAATTTCCGTAAGCGGCAGGATCAACAACAACAACAGCAGCAGCAACAACAACAAGTACAGCAGCAGCAACTGCGCGCGTCGAGTCCTGTTATTAACTCACCAGCTAAACAAACAGCGAGCCCACTCGCTTTCACTCCAACTTCCGTTTTACGTAAAATGACTGCTGACAAGGAACCCGATGGTGCGAATCAATTCCGCAAATTAGAAACGACTTTTTCTATTATACCCGCAATTAATGGAAATATTAATCACTCTCGCATGTCTCGAGATCAAAATAATCATCGAGTGCATACCGCCGTTCCTTTTGTTGATTCATCTAAATTTTCCAATTCAGTCAATCAAGTGCAAAATGAAACTCTTAAAATGATCTTTCTGCAATCTGCCATAGCTAATCATATAAATAACAATACTTGTACGGAAGAATCGGCATTAAAAACCAAACATTTGTGTTCGTTACAATCGGAAAAAGATATAAAAGATAATCCGGATATTAACACAATAAAGGAAAATGTTTTCCTTGATAATGAAAATGCAAACGATAATTCGAAAGTACCAGAGTCTAATGTAATAGATATTGATAATGATACCAATAATAACGATTGTGTCTCGTTTCATGAGGCAATAAAAAAATCATCCGAATTGGAAACACTGGTAAATGAAAATAATCAAATGACCGCATCTACAGCATCAGATGGAATAGAAAACATTAATTCTTAAAATACTAGTATACATGCAATTCACAGTGAGAATATCTAATTGTGCTGTTTCCTAGCAGATGAAGAGTTTCATAAAGTGCACATTAATATATTATAAAATAATAATTTTTGATTGCTATGTTTAGAACTATACTTTTGTTTTTATTATTTTTGTGATTACAACGAAAAGTTGCCGTTTTGTTTTTTCGTTTGACATTTCAGAAGTGCGATGCTTGAAAATGTGAAAGGTTATGGAAGAGAATTGGCATTAAAAACTAAATATTTGTGTGATAAATATCTGCCACATCTTTCTAATATATGGCAGATATTTAAAAATATATTATTTTTATTTTATATGTGAGATGCAAAAAGAGCACTTTATAAAATAAACTCTTAATAACATAGATTTATTACATTTCTTAATAATATGTTGAAATAGGTTTTTTTTTTTTTTTTTAATAATAAAAGGCTTTGTATTGATTTATCTCATCTGCTTTAACTTTTCTTTTACATGCTCACATTTTCTCCTATTATTAGTGTTGCAACTTTTCACCAATACATAAGCTTCCAATCTTTGTCTTTTTTTTTTTTTATAATTCATCTGCATTTGCTTAATTCTTATGCTTATCAAATTTGCATGCAGTAATAAAAATAAAAATAAATGTAATATACACAGTTAACTGCATTTGTTATTCTTATATTATTATGATAACAATTACTAATGATGACACAATATAATATAGGTAAATAATTTATGTTTGAAAATTTGATTGATATTTGAATGATAATATCTCAATGAATAATATTTAGTAAGTATATTGTGTTGGTGTTTCAAATTTATAGTGTGTGTGTGTGTATATATATATATATATATATGTTCTCATATATATAATGTACGTATGTATATAAAATTGAAATTGATGAAATTTATATGAAATTGTTGTAAATTGGAAGTTTTAATTTTGACAAAAACATTTAGTAGGTATTTAAATACATAAAAAATTTAAATACTATAATAAATTTAAATTATTATATTTTTTTACATATATTAAACTAAATCTTTTGAGAAAAGAAAGAAAACATTAACATTAAGAAAGCATTAACATTTGTGTTTTGTGTTATTAATATCTAGTTTTAATTTTCATATAATTATTTTTTTGTTTAAATACAGGAAGCAGCAATGACCCATCAAAATTGTCTACACAAACTCAAGCATCGCAGATGCAACAAATGCAGTCCGCAGTTCAGCTACTCACACATGGAACTCTCTCGAGACATACTGCGTTGCGACCACAATCCGTTCCATCGACATGGTCAAATACATCGCTTAAACAGCATCCAGGTTTAGCTTTTTAACTTTTATAAAATTATATTAGTAGAAATCTTTGTGTTATATTAATCTTATTATTGACTATCATGAAATATTATCTGGAAGGACTTACTATTATATTATGATTAACATTGTAATACATATTGACTATTGCCTATTTTAATAATGTAATATTAAACGCAACGAAATTCTTTCTAATTTTAGGTCGACCTATAGTGAAAGGTGGCAACAGCGGGAACACGAGCAGCAATCAGTTCCAATACAATACAGGAAACGTGGAGTTCCAACAACATCAACACAGAACGGTCGCAAATGTGTACGGCAACCCAGCTCGATCCAAGCATACAATGGCCACTTCGTTGCCGCATCACAATGTTCCGCAATACAATCCAGTAGTTCAGAATTCAATTATGAATCCGAGAACAAATCCTATAAATACCCAAATGAAGGCTCAGCAAGTCCCCGCGCATCTCGCTAACATGCAACAGTCGCCGCATGGAACCGCTAACATGCAACAACAACAACCGCCGCAACGGACTGTAAATACACCGATGCAACTTGTCATGAACCAAAATTACAATTCCAATCGTACAGGTAATGTAATTCAATGAAGCACAAAGTGACTAGAGTGCTATATTACTAAAAAAGAATTTTTAACAAATCTAACAATATCAAACCCGAGTTTTGTATTTGGTAAAAATTGACATTTGTACTATAAAAATTCCTTCCTTATCCTGTTTACATTGATTTTCAGGTGTTTCTCCTCTCCCCAATCAAATTGCATGCAACGGTGTTCAGAAATCGGAATAATAGCAAGCCATTCTTGGCTCTCCCCCATTTAATCCTGTCTTGACATCATTTACCTTTGGATTAAGTAAATAATTATTAATGTTGTTGGAATGCTTTGTGCTAGAATATTAATGGAACATTTATATTATCAGATTATATTGCAAACTATATACAGTATTTTATACAATTATTCTGCACACATATACATTTTGCAATAACATTTATCCTTGTTATTTAAATGATAATTCGTTACATGATTGAATAAATTATATGCACAGATGGACGAGCGATGCGTTCGCAGCAATTAAACATGACAGTCGGCCGTCAACCTTCACCGGGCCTCGGATTCGTGGGTAGTAACGGAGGTGATCTTTCACCAACGTCTAACCAACTTGCACGATGGTTCAGCCCGGAACTTCTTGCTCAAGCTCGGGCCGGCAAGTTGCCAGAGCTCGTGCAGACGAACGTCCTGTCCTTGGAGGAGCTTGAGAGACTTCAACATGCATCAACCAGTTTAGTGCATAACTAAAGTGATATACTATATCGTATTCGGATTATGTTTCAATTTTGCAAGCGCATCGATAACATTACTCTGGTTAGTCAACCAGTATTCGTGATACAGATCTTTACGTCCGAAACACCTTCGATGCACGGATGCTGAATACATACGCCGGTTAAATTACAGAACAGTGCTATATAGATCTTTTTCGCCTATATAGATCTTTTTATCAAATCTTCGTATCTACGAGGAGTTTATCGAATTAATGTGTCATGTATTTCGGTTAGAAATAGTCGATTACTCGGTTGGACAGTACTTTTCTTTTGAAGGATTCTCTTTTCTTCGTCGAAAGGATTGCTGACATCGTTTGTGAAACCACTTTTCCAAGTTTCGCGAAAAGTTGTTTAGAAATTACAAATGTACAGGATAGTATAATATTGAGAACGAAGCAGGTCGCGTTTGAAGAACGCGAAAGTGGATAGCTTTCTAAAATGAAAACGATGTATTGCTTATAAGACTGAAAAAATGTGAAAATTCTTATTGTTGATTATGACAAGCTGTTAGAGCTTGATACGCGTACTTTTTAAATGACAACATGATAAGATCTATTTGCCTAAGATAGGACTGCAAGTTTCTTTTATGTCTCATTGAGGAGATTCTGAGAATTATTTAGCGATTCAAGCAATTTATATATGTTTCAGAACATATTTTCATCAATCTCTCATTTTCTCATTGACAATTGTAACGAACATGAGGATATATTATGACAGTATTTTGCAATGATTCACAAGTACTAAAAGCACTGTTGCACATCGAGATTGTGTTCCTTAAATATGAGACAAAACAAAAGAATATTTTTTACTACTACCGTTAGCCAACATATATATAAAGATATATCTACATACTCTATATATCTAGTGCAACAAAAACTTGGCATTGTCGTCAGCAAGAATATGATTTAAATAATCAAAATGCTTGTAATCTAGTGTCGTTTATAGAATACGTCGCTTATTTACAATGGGAAAATTGCAAAATCCCTTAGGCAAATAATACGCGGATCTCTTAAAATTGTGAGAATTGCAGGCTACTATCTGATTACAATTACTTACACAAAATGGTGGTAACATTTAATATCCTATTTGTATTGCTGCAAACCATGCGACTTTAATAACACGAAAAGCATACGAGATAACACATGACGAACACATGACGTTACATACACATATATTATATAAAAATAAATATAATATAATATATACTTCTCTCTCGTAGAAGAGAACGCGTGAGAGTACGATATCATTATCCTGATCGAAAGTGGTAGATAGACTGAAATGTCTTTTAATAAAAAACCTCGGGAGATATATAGAAGAATCGTTTGCAGAATTAATTAAAGAAAACGGAAACATTCCACACCAGCCAATAGAGGATCAATTCAAACAAGATATCCTTTTACGAATTTTGATTGATATCAATACTGTGTTGCTAACGTGTGTTTGCTTTCGATTTAATGGCTTACATCTTCTATGAGATTACAATTTCTGTATGATTACAAAGAGAATTGGGCTTAATTTAAAAGGATAACGTTATCAAAAGTTTACTTTTGCTTTTATATTTCAAAAGGATAGTGTCATTACTATTTTACTACACATGTATCTTAGAGTCTCATCATGCGCGCATAATTGCATTTTTCTCCTCTAATAGTTCATTAAGCATGCCATTATATTTTTAAGAATTATATCTCAAAAGGCAAAACATCTTACGAAAAAAAGAAAAAAAAGACCATTAGTACTGTATATCGGAAAATAGTATTTATCTATATATATATATATTTTTTTTTTATTAATTGCATAACATTTATATAAACAAGTTACATATATTCTAATTTATGAATATTCGTTACATTTGTATTTTATCTGCATACGATAATTTTTTTTTTATAATCGCATATAATTGTATGTGGAACCGTATAAGAAACGCGAAATAAATTTACGTAAAATACTTAAAAACAAAGAAAGAGAGAAATAATATAAAATTAAACTTTACAATTTGTTTTGTGTTGTTGGTATATAAATTTATAAATTTATTTGTGTGTATGTGTGTGTATTTTTTGTGCGCGCATAATATAAGAATAATTTTGAAAAAATGCCACAATAATATCACAGGTAATTTTTAATTAATTATATGATAAAAACCTTTATATCATAAATATTTCCAACAGATTGTCTCATACCGATCTATATATATGCAATATTGATTATTCACGATGATATTCTCGAATTTTATTACTGCATCTGTACTGTAATGCGAGATTCGCGAAATTCGAAAAATGCAAGACGGCTTATGGGACTCTAAAAACTATCTGTACTCGTTGCGCTGGTTGATAATTAAGGGAAATATGTTGCAAACAATACTGTATATCGGCGACGGAAGGATCTCGTTTCATAGCATTTTCGTTCATCGTCAGATTTTGAGCGATTGCATTCTTGCACGGTGATTTTAATTATATTTGGGACTGATTCATCACAGTAAGCTTCATCTCAAGTGTCCACAAGTACAAAGTGTATTAGAACGAAGAGTAAAAAAAAAAGAATTTAAATCATTCTAAGCACGAGATATCTTTATATAAGTATCACTGGGAGAAATCTTATGTTTCGACGCTATATATATGTATAGAAAATGAAATTTCCGCAAGTGTTATATTATGCTAATTTTGCTTCGTAAAAGGACAATTGTGTGAAAGGAAGCGCGGGGTATTGAATATATTCAAAGTAAGGAAGTAGATATTTTTTATAACAATCAGTTTTCCTCAACAGAAATACAAAGTAAATCCAGATAGCATATATTGGTTTTATAAACGTTTCCTAAATGTACTCATATATAATGATTTTAGATAAGTTTAGGAAATGTTTATGAAATCAACATGTGCTACTTGGGAATGTTGATAAAACAATTTTTTCGGCAATCAAAGTTAAAAAAATATCTTTTGAATTAAAAATTTATCTGGGAGATATTATTCTCCAAAGTACTGTATATGTATCTCGCATTTCCTAGTCAGGATCAAGCGTGAACGTTCATCGGTTTAGCGATAATGATTTCCTTTCCCGATTTCGGATGCTGAGACGAAAGATGTCCTGTTTCTGAAGCATATTCGCATTTATATTCAGCTTCATTTTTGAGGATGATGAAGATTATATACCAATATTTGGTGTGGAAAACAAGAGGAGAAATTGTTATGCAAGACGCACGAGGGATTTTTCAATCTGAATGTTTTTATAAGGTGATTACAATAGCAGTGATTAAATTTCTGCTTTCATTAAATGAAAGAAATTTGTGAACGAGATACTGTGTCCCATGCATTTGCGGACTTGGATTGTTTCATAATTCGAAAATACATTTTTGTAAATAAATCGATCTCCGAGCAAACTAAAGTATGTTTAGTCCATGCACTGGGTCGATGACTTGTAAATAAAGTTACTGAATATTATATTATGTGAAGAGTCGAGAGAAAGAGAGAGAGAGAGAGAGAAATGTCATACAAATAAATACAGGGAACTGTAATTATCATTCTCGTCATTCCATTCGTCTCGTTGTGAAATGACTGGTCTTTTGAATCATTTATCTAAAGAGCTTGTTCACGAAATCTAAAGACATTTGATTTTGTATTTGTTAATTGATAATTTACTTAAAAATTTTTGACATTCAACACAAACGCTTTTTCTTAAATTCGAAAACACAATAGAATTATATAATTATTTATCGCGCGATGTATTATTTTGCTAATTGATTTTAATTCTAGTTGAATAAAATTACTTATCGTCGGTTTATAATTAACCAATTGCAGCAGCGGAAATAAATCATACGATCATGATTTGAAGTTCCCGCGTGTATAGAGAAATTTAAAAACCATCATATTTAAACATCTGCGCAATTGCACGTCAACAAGATAAAATTTTTATTTCTCGATTATAAAATTTTTACATTCGAGATTTTTTAAAATCGAAATAGAATTCAGTTATATAGAGTCGCTAAATAATTCTAAAAAAAAATTAACGCGTGAAATTAATCAAAAGGGACTAAACATGGCGCATCTAGTATTAATATATGCAATGCCGGTAAACTCTACGAACTGAGACGCGCGCATGCGCTAAAGAGTCTTGCACGCTAGAGGGCACAAGATACAAGAAATGATGGATCGTCGCAATCTGGGCGCAGCAGACTTCGCACGGAGACATTCCCTCAGACGCAGAGCCTCGCATTGCATCTCGCCTCCTCGAACCCAGACCCAGACCAGCCTGAAGCGCACAAAGTAGAGAAAAAGATCCACGTATAGACGCGAATCTTGTCCCGTGTGCATAGTGTTGCGCGAAACGCGATTGTCCGCGATGCAAAGTGCGAGAAGTCGTGTGCGCGACACGCGAGACGCCAACGACGTAATCGAAGCGAGAGTTTCGTTCCGCGAATTTTATGCCGAGACGCCTTCGAATTGCGATAGACACGATTACGATTACGTCTCGCGATACGGAGATTCGTCGGAGAGGTTAGATTCCGCGAACGGCCAAATCGAACATAGTTGACGAAATTGAAAAATTATCATTTATACGGAATAACATCCCTCCTCTCCCTTCTCTACCCTATAGATTTCTCGCTGTCGCATTCGTAGCCAAATTCACTCGCGAGAAATCGTTTCTCTCTCTATCTATCTCTATCTCTCTTATTCCTTCCGAGCGGATTTTTCATTCTCTCGAATTTATTATTGCGATATCGCGGCCATCCGCCATCCCAGTATTAAAAGTCACAGGTCACAGCGTCGCTTTGCGACGATCCGCATGTCTCCGTGTTGCGAGTCACGCTATGCGTCTGAATGGTGAGTAATGTTTGAAGCGTTTCCGATTACTTTATAGTAATCACGGCGCCGTTGCGATTAAAGTACCGCGCGTACATTTAACGATCCTGCGAGATCCTATCGAACATCCCCTTCCTTTTGTCTCTCAAATCACAGATCCCTTCGACTGGCGGCTGGCAGCAAACGACCACTATATGCGAAAAAAAAGAATGCACATTCGCGTACGATATCATATGAGATGAAGGAGTGAGGAGAATCGAATTACATATCCTCGTTATCGGAAAATGCGACGAGTCGCGAGGTAAGAGGGGTATCGTCCGAGTAGGAATTTGAGGATCGATCTGACGTCGCAATCGTAGAACGTGTCTCGCGGTGATCACAGCCGCGAGCAGGAGAGAACGATGATCGACGGCGCGAGACATGATTTTGTTGCGACGCCATGTATACGGCGGCCATTGCGTAAAGCATCGCGCGCCCTTCGATTAAATCCCTCGCGCGTCCGTCGCAATTAGATCGCGGACAACGAAAAAGAGAAAGAGAAAGAGAGCGAAAGGCGCCCCGATCGACGAAGGGACGAAGAACGACGAGTCGCGAGGTAAGAGGGGTATCGTCCGAGTAGGAATTTGAGGATCGATCTGACGTCGCAATCGTAGAACGTGTCTCGCGGTGATCACAGCCGCGAGCAGGAGAGAACGATGATCGACGGCGCGAGACATGATTTTGTTGCGACGCCATGTATACGGCGGCCATTGCGTAAAGCATCGCGCGCCCTTCGATTAAATCCCTCGCGCGTCCGTCGCAATTAGATCGCGGACGACGAAAAAGAGAAAGAGAGCGAAAGGCGCCCCGATCGACGAAGGGACGAAGAACTGAGATCTCGGGGAGGGAGAGAAATTATCGTTTCGAGGATTCTACGGGGAGACTGACTGATCGAGATCGTGTCGAAAGAGACGATTTTTGTGCGTTGTCGCGCTGGCTTTTCGATATACACGTATACGTGATGATGATAAATCGTCTTCTGACACGGCAGGTCGCAGTGTTTCGCGTGCGATACCGCTGTTGTTACCGTTACCGGTCCTTGGCGGTCGTGACGCCCTTTTTTCTCCGACAGTGTACGCCGTGATAGCGAGGGATCTCGGCGGAAGAGATCTTTGCGCGGAATCCAACGGATCGTCGGACTCTTGGAAATTGTACACTTGGTCGATCGCTTTAGCAGAACCATTCGTGACGTAATCTACGAATCGTCGAGAAACGCGTCACCATAACTGCGCCAAAATCTAACGATAGCTTTTTTTTTTTTTTTTCGGCACAGAGCCTCGACACTTTTGACGCAAGAACAACGCGCATAGTGAGGTGACAAGATAATGTTAAACTCGACGACTCGTCATTTCAGTACCCTTACTCTTGTTTCGAATATCCGAGCACTCGTTCGAATCGATGCCGAATAAATATACTTATGTCGCGAACGCGAATAACGTAGGAACAATCATAGCGAGTGATTGTTGCAAGCAGTGGCTGATTGGTTTCTAACAATTTTAGGCGAGACGATATATACATAGTTTGTTCTCACGTCGCGATATACCGAGCCTAAAACGGGCGATACGAACGAATAATCCGTGTAGCTGAAAGAAGAACGTGTTTGAGATGATTCCCACACGAAACAACCTGCGATTCACCGGAATAGGGAGAGGTTATTGCAGTATCTGATCGACATGTGGCAAGATATCACGATCGGGACAATGGATCTGGACTTTCTACGGCAACGTATGTAACGGTATTTAGCGCAATATTTATTGTGATAATCAGCGCTTAGAGCTAATTGCTCGTTGCTCATGACTGAATTCTGCTCAATTGACAGCAATAACGATAATGAAAGACATTGTTATTTATTACAAATCCAACTAAATACGAAAATAATTGTGCGTCTAAGAATGGTGTCCGATCGTGTGTAGTGTTGTGTATCTTTTGCGAATGCGCTTTGACCACGAGCGATGATAACTTTTCAAGCCCCGCGATAACGTGGAATGAGACGTTCCAGGTGAAATGTCAATGGAACTTCGTCAGCTGTGCGCAGGAAGTCGTTGCGTCAACCTTGCAATGCGAATCGATAGGAATTTGCGTCACTCGTCCGGAATCTAATTCGCGCCTCTCCGTGAGCTTTGCTGTGTTTTTCTCCCTAGGGGTGTAACTTTAAGTGTAATTTATTGGGAGATTTTTTTATGTACGAATCGAGATTACAATTATATCTGCTTTGTTTTTGCAAAATGACGTTAGCGAAATAACCTGAGGAAAAATTGCATATGCAAAAATAAGCAAGAATAATATACAGAGATTATTATATAGAGGTAACACGTATGACCTTATTTAATAGAACAGGCTTCTAAAAGGTTGATAAAGTGGATAAAGAGAGCGAAACTGCTCTGTATAAGAATATTATTTTGGCATCACATGAGAAATAAGTTAAACCGGCAATTTGAATCACTAGTCCTGGAATAACGATTGAGACTATCTCCTATAATACTGATGGAAGGAATATTGACCATGGTTGATTCTGACCAATGTGCGCTTATAATAGTGCAATCGAAGATCGTAACGGCGACGGATAATCTTCGTCGGTTCTTCTCATCGACGTGCAACGAGTGTCTCGGCGCTGACACGGAACGAGTTCATCGTCGTCGCGTTGTTGTTGCTTTGTCGACGCTCTAGTTTCCCACACGGCGTTGCACACGGCTGTAGAGAGCGCTGCAAGAAGCTCGAAAAAAGGAAATCGTCAGAGGCGATTTAGTGCCGCGAAGTAATTGCGACATTGTGTACGGTGTAATTTTGTATGCCAAAGCGAAAAGCGAAAAGGGAGTGTCGATGAAACGTTGCGACTGCACGGTCGTCGCGGTAGCAAAAAGAGAGAGAGAGAAGGCTGGAGCATTGCGGACGCAGGATCGTAACGAGAAGCAAGAGACGATCGATGCATTGTCGGCTGATTCCCTCGAGTGTAATGATTTATCAGGTGCGCAAAAATGAAGTCGTCTCTTTCTTGTATCTCTTTAGATGCTTTTTCTTAGGACCGATTGCACCCCAACATCGGATCTTAATTATGGATCGCTTGGATTCACTTCACGATTTCACTTCGTTATTTGTCAATCGTGATAATTTAAACAGACGATCGTGTTGATTGCGATTGAGTTTTGTAATTTTTCATTGTATTTTTCATTCTCTTATATGCGGTGCAACCGGACCGAGATCTCTTCGTAAAATAGATTTTTATCGTTTCAATTTTCAATGTTTTTATGTTTTTAATATAACTTTATAATAAGATTTAAGATTATCGCGTAATGTGTATTATGAAATAATTTTTGGTCGAGTTTTTTTTATATTGCTTGTTTAGAGAAAAGAGCAATTGTCAAATGGAGTCGCCATTGTGTTACACGAGTACGGCTCGTAGTTCCGACAGGTTTATGGCTCTACAATATTTTTACTATAGGAGAGACGATGGTCTCTATTGTGCCATATTGTGCATTGCATGAAACTTTACATAGCACGAGAGGGAAACGATTTTCATATGTGTAATGTATTCTTTTATTAACGTTGTACTAGTGACATGATTTACGTAACGAATGACGATCATAATCATTTTCATGGGTGTA